ATGAGAAGAACTTGTTCAACCTTTTGCTTGAATCATCATTTGGTGGATCATCTTTCCAGAGAAAGTTCATAATGAGAAGAACTCATCTGAAGAAGGATAAGAAGTTCATAATGAGAAGAACTGTTCAACTTTTTGTTTAAATTCATCATTTGATGGATCACATTCCAGAGAAAGTTCATAATGAGAAGAACTCGTCATTGAAGAAGGAAAGAATTTCATAATGAGAAGAACTTGTTCAACCTTTTGCTTGAATTTCATTTGGGGATCATTTTCCAGAGAAAGTTCATAATGAGAAGAACTCATCTGAAGAAGGAAGAAGAAGTTCATAATGAGAAGAACTTGTTCAACTTTTTGTTTAAATTCATCATTTGATGGATCAACATTTCCAGAGAAAGTTCATAATGAGAAGAACTCGTCATCTGAAGAAGGAAGAGAATTCATAATGAGAAGAACTGTTCACCTTTTGCTTGAATTCATCATTGTGGATCATCTTTTCCAGAGAAAGTTCATAATGAGAAGAACTCATCTGAAGAAGGAAGAAGAAGTTCATAATGAAGAACTTGTTCAACTTTTGTTTAAATTCATCATTTGATGGATCAACATTTCCAGAGAAGTTCATAAGAAGAACTCGTCTGAAGAAGGAAGAAGAAGTTCATAATGAGAGAACTTGTTCAACCTTTTGCTGAATTCATTTGGTGGATCATCTTTTCCAGAAAGTCATAATGAGAAGAACTCATCTGAGAAGGAAGAAGAAGTCATAATGAGAAGAACTTGTTCAACTTTTTGTTTAAATCATCATTGATGGATCAACATTTCCAGAGAAAGTTCATAATGAGAAGAACTCGTCATCTGAAGAAGGAAGAAGAAGTTCATAATGAGAAGAACTTGTTCAACCTTTTGCTTGAATTCATCACTTGATGGATCAACATTTCCAGAGAAAGTTCATAATGAGAAGAATCATTGAAGAAGGAAGAAGAAGTTCATAATGAGAAGAATTTTTCAACCTTTGCCTGAATCCATATTGGTGGATCATCTTTTCCAGAGAAGTTCATAATGAGAAGAACTCATCTGAAGAAGAAGAAGAAGTCATAATGAGAAGAACTTGTTCACTTTGTTTAAATTCATCATTTGATGGATCAACATGGCCAAAGAAAGTTCATGAATGAGAAGAACTCATCTGAAGAAGGAAGAAGAAGTTCATAATGAGAAGAGCTTGTTCAACCTTTGTTTGATATCATCTGAAGAAAGAAGAGAAAGTTCATAATGAGAAGAACTCATCAGAGTTTATTCACCTTTGAATGACTCTATCACAGAAAGGAGGTCATCATCACCCCAGCAGAGAGTTCTAATAAGAAGAACTTATTTGGAGAAAAAAGAATTATTCAATATCTCCATCATGATCAAGTAAAGTCAAATGGATAAAAATTTTTTATCTTTTATCTTTGCCTATTCTTGTTAACACAAGAATGAGCAAAGAGGGGCAGCTGAAGATACTAATTTTTATCCATATTATTATTATTATTATTATTATTATATTATTATTATTATTATTATTATTATTATTATTATTATTATTATCATTATTAATATTATTAATATATTATTATTTTATTATAAATATTAAATACAAACCAGTTACAATTAAACCGGCTCAGTTACAAACAACTGAAACCGGTCCAAATCCAACCGGAAACCCTAAATATTGGGTTTCCAGTTAGGGTTCCCTAACCCTAATCTAGCCAGCCGCCAGCCGCCATCTTCAATCTCAACCGTGGATCTGGTTTGATCCAACGGTCCATCATTTGCCAGAGGAAACCCTAGGGTATCTATACCCTAAGGACACGTCCACCGCCGCCGCTGCTGCTTCCAGAAGCCCTCACCGCCTCCGCCGCTGCCACGTCCCGAATGATGCTTCCAGAAATCAACGCCACCGTCCATGCAAGGCTACGGGGGAGTCACCACTGGTAGTCCGGTGACTCACCGAGGCCCGCTCTTCGGACCGGTCCGAGACGAACACCGGTGGTGGCTATAAAAGCCACCACCCACCTGCGAAAGAAAAAAAAAAGACAGAAACAGAGACCGCAGGAGAGACAGAAACCAAAAAAAAAAAAAAGAAAGAAAAAAAAAAATAAGCTATACCAACGATCCCGTCTACAACCACAGCAGTAAACAAAGGAAAAGAGAAGAAGACTTACCCTTGAAGCCTTTGTGGCCCTCGGAAGCCAAACGTTGCCAAACCGCCGTTTAAGAAGGTAGAACCCTTCGGTTTTGTTTAGATTTACTCCGATAGGAGTCTTTTAGAGAAAACAAGACGGAATCGGTCTTAGGGTATTTAGATCTACAATTTGGGGGTGTTTTTGGTGAATTCCACCACCGTTACGGTGGCCGGCGGCGGTGGCCGGCGGCGGAGTACGGTGGCCTATGGCTGCCGGTTCCCTCCGGTGAGGGAACCTAGAGAGGCGAGAGAGAAATCTCTCTCTCAGTTTGAGAGAGAGAAGAAAGAAAGGAGAAATGAGATGTTGGCCCGAAGGGCCAGCCAACCTAGGGTATTTATACCCTCTCTTAAACGGCGTCGTTTAAGGGAGGACCTGTGCGTAATTATAGAAAGGTTAAATCCTTTCCGCAGTCCTCTGAATTTTAAACTTTATATTTTAGTCACTGAACCTAATTTTAGATCTTATAATTTGGTTCTTTAATTGTGGATTTTTTATTTTAGTCATTTCTATTAAATAAATATTTAGGATAAATACGTATTTAATCCTTTAATTTTAATAAATAATATTTTAATCCCTAGCTTATATTTTTTATTTATTTGAATCTAATATCCGAATTTTAGATGATTTTATTTTAGTCACTAAATAAATAAAAATAAAAAAATAACATATTTAATCCCTATAGTTTTGATTAATTATGAATTAGATTTTTTAATTTTATTTTTACTGCAATTTAGTCATTTATTTTATATGTTTTAATTTATTTTATTGTTTTTAAATATATTGTTTTAATAGAATTATTCTTTTATTATATTGTTAAATATTTTATATATTCATAAATATATATAATAAATATTAACTTTTAAAATATTTATTTTTAATATCAAAGAAAAGGACAGTCTTAATACAACTGGATGTCCTATTCTGATATTTTAAAATTAAACAATATTATTTAAATTAATATTTATCAATATCAAAGAAAAAGAGCTGTCTTAAGGTACCTAGAAGTTCTTTTCGGATATTTTTAAATAAAAAATATTTTTTATATAATTTTGAAATAATAGAATTATAAATTAAATATATTTTTGAATTTTTAAATTTTTAAATACTAGAGACAATTTATAATTAAAAAGTACCAATTTTGGGCGTTGTAGGGGTGCTAATCCTTCCCTAAACGTAACCGACCACGAACCCCTTTTTATTATTAAAAAGAACAAATTTTTGGTTATAAAACGCAGATCAGTTCATTTTTTTAATTGATGTTTTCTTAAAACTCTTTTAAAAAATAATTTTTAGGTATTCGACCTACCTGATCCAAAAGGTCGATGGCGACTCACAAATTATTTTCAAAATTATTTATTAACATTAATTTCCCCACCAAAATTTAATATTTCGTGCCCGGACGAAAACCGGTTACGACAATGATGACTTAGTATTATCTTGTAGTGACACTCATCATCTCAATCAATTTTTTAAAGACGGATGATCAAAACAGAACTGAAACATGATTTAAAAAATATATATATGAGTGTCCAAAACGAAAGTGAGAGAATAAATAAATTATTAAATACGTGGTTTACCCGAAAATACTACTTTTCAACTCTTTGATTGCTTTATCAATTTCTACGGATCCTTAATTACGATATCTGTAATCTACATATCACCGAAAGCCTCTCTCTCTTTTTTTTTTTTTTTTTTTTATAACTAAAGAAATAAATGATATCCTAAAGTATGTAACTCAAGTTGCAGTCTTCTTGAGCAGTATATCATATAGGCCTACTGGAGGTGTTGAAATTATGTAGCATCGTCCACCTCCCACTCGTGCCAACTTAACCACATCATCCGCTACTCGGTTTCTTTTGCAATGCACATGGTCAATCATTACCTCTCAATTCCTTTGCAGCAGCTTGCCTATGTGTTGCCGGAAAGTTGATTCTAGCTCAAACGAGACAGAAATTTAAATAATGATTCACGATCATGATAGCGCCTGTTATATAGAGGTTGTGGTGCCTTCCACGACTGTTGATGTATGACCACGATACCCATAATCACCGTAATAAAATTTGTTATGAGCCTTATAGCCCTTGAAGCATCCCCACAAGTCAGCCTGTAGAACCGAACATGCAGCACTTGTGAAAATCTAGTTTTTACTGCCCTCTCTCATCTTTTATCAGCTCTCCACTGGATGTGATTCTCTTGGCTGGTGTCAGCCGTATCCAGTTTAGGTCATCCTAATGGTGGAGGTACACATCGAGCTTCAGACTTCTGCTGTTGTTGTACATTAGTTCGAAGTTCCTCTGCTGTTGCATGTTTCAACAACCAATCTTCAGCTACGCTCAAGTATCATTGCTCTTTCGACATTTTTCGGATCAAAGATTTGCTTGGTCCGCTGCACCCATAAGTTCCAAATGAAATATGTCTCATGCTTCCCGATTAATTGTAAACGAGGAGATAAAAAGTGACATGAAAAATTAAAATATAATGTCTATATTATTGTTAAGTTTTTGATAATCAGTGATCAATTAAAAAATATAATATAAAAACAAATAATAAGTTAATGACTAATGATATAATTTACTTTTAATTCATTTAAAATTTAAAAATATTCACATGATTAATGTTTAACAATGATGATCAAAAGAAAAATATTATAATATTGTTTTAAAAATAATTGAATGATGAAAATAAAAAAATAGTTTATTGGCTAATGATATAATTTAGTTAAAATAAATAAATAAATATCCCAAACATTTGATATATTTTCAGAACAACCCATTACATAACAGCTAGCTGATTCATCAGGAGCTTGACAATGGCTTCTTGGTTGGTAAAAAGTCAACCGCAGCCATCTCTTTCTCCATTTTCCCTTCTCTCTCACTTCCTTTTCCCCTCATCTTCCAACTTACCTGCTAAAACCTAACATTTTCATTTGAGTTTCGTTTTGTTTTTGTCAACTCGGAAATGATTTGCAGAGTGAGATTCGGCGGATGCATATTGGCCCTCTGCCTTGCGGCGGCTGCTTCTCCTATTACCGTCCTTCTGAAGGTTTGTCCTGCTCACTTGCACTTCTGATTAACACTGATAAATCTAAGTCATGAGGTTACAATTTGAGTCCAAACAGCAATAACGATAGAAATGACTCATGATTTCGCTTTTGACTTTTGCTAATCTTTAAACCGTTGGCGCTGCCTGGAATTTCGTTGTTAACTATTTATTAAGATTTCCCAATTGCAGTTAGTGCATTACGAGCAGTGAAGAAGCAATTGGTTGATCCAATGAACAATCTCAGAAATTGGAGCAAAGGGGATCCTTGCACAGCCAACTGGACTGGAATTCTATGTTCTAATGATCTTGGGGATGATGGGTATTTTCATGTTCAGGAACTGTACGTTTTCTCTTGCATTCCCCACGCCTAGGGGTGTAAATGAACCGAGCTTGAATGAATAAAGATGTTCATGTTCGTTTATTTATTTTTGAATGAGTAGTTCGTGATAGTTTAAATTTTCAGTATCATGTTCTTGTTCGTATATTTATTTTATAAGGTTTTATTGTTCGTTCATTTAACATTCACGAACATGTTTGTTTATAGTTCGTGAACAAGTTCATTTAATGATCATTTACACCCCTATCCACATCTAGTTATGGTTGAGTTGCTTCTTGACTTTTTGATCGTTTTTCTTTCATTTTGTTGATTATAAAAAAAAAGTTGGTGCTCATTCTTGATGCTAACTGCTTTCTGTAATTGTTGCAGTCAGCTACTGAATATGAATCTCTCGGGAACTTTAGCGCCTGAACTTGGCCAACTTTCTCGTCTGAGAATACTGTGAGTTGGGATATGAATTTGAAAATACATTATAAACATTCCCGACATATAATTTCCAGTGGAGCTAACATCTTTTCTCTTTTGTTTGTGGAAGAGATTTCATGTGGAATGAATTGACTGGCACTATACCAAAGGAGATAGGACATATCTCTCCCTTAAGACTCCTGTAAGTTGGATCTTTTTTATTCTTTCTTCTTTCATAAAGAAATTGGACGAAACAATAAGTTTCTTTATTGAAGGCGGATCAGAGGGGATACTTTACAGAAAAAGTTCATCTTTTTCTTAATCATATTACTTGTATCAATCTGAGCTTGTGCTTAAATTTATGGTGTGGAGATTAAAATATCTACATGAGAAGCTATTTGAGATTGGTGGTAACATGGTTGTTATCCAAAAGTTAGAAGAAAAACGGGATATTTTGTTAGTTTTTAACTTTTTGTGTGGCATTCTGTATGCAGACTCTTGAATGGCAACAATCTAAAATCTTACGTAACCAACTTTTAATAAGGCCTAAATGTCATTTTTCTTATTTATCTATTAATTATTTTGGGATTAACTGTTTTCTACATTTCTGCAGTCAGCTTGATAACAATGACTTCAGTGGATCTGTTATTCCAGCTTCATATGGAAACTTTTCGAGATTAGTGAAATTGTGAGTGTTAGTAAAACATTTATTTAGTCTTAGAGTTTATTTAGTGAGTTAAAGAAAATGTTTAAGCTTACAAAGGTAGTGTATGTTGTATCACTAATGAATTAAAAGAATCATAAAGAACATTGACTTGCCCTTGAGATAGAATACATCATTTCAATTATAACATATACCTAATTTTCTCTTCAACGTTTAACTCTGGAATTTGTATTTAATATCATGAACTAAACTGTACACGCAATATGTTTTTGCACAAATCTGCGGAAGACTACTGATGCTATTTGTTTCACTTGGTGTCTTTCAGAAGCCTCGGGAGTTGCAGCTTGCAGGGTGATGTTCCTGATCTTAGCAGGATACAAAACCCTACCTATCTGTATGTCTGGGTTACTCTTTTAATTATTGTGTGATATTTAATATTTACCTTCTTGGGATGCATTTATTTTATGCAATACTGCAAATTTCTATCTTATTTCAGCCACCAATCTTAACATATATTCTTGTATATGCATTCATGTGGCAGGGATCTTAGCCAGAATCATCTTACTGGACCCCTACCAACAAATAAACTTTCAGATCACATGACAACCATGTAATTGGAGTGCTAATTTAAACTCATCTAGTGTCTTGTTTAAGTAACTAAATAAACTCGTATTTTTAGCTGCCAATCTGAATATCCCAATTGCCTAAATATTTAACTAAATGATAAGTTAACCTTTTGAAATATGTACTATTACCTTCTTTTGATTATTTAATAAAGTGAAATCTAGAAAAATTCACAGTAAGAGATGACTTCTTCTTTATTGCAGTGATCTTTCAGATAACCAGCTAAACGGAACAATCCCTGCAAATTTCTCTGACCTTCCTTCACTTCAGACTCTGTGAGAACCTATATGCAATATAGAACTGTTCTATATTTCCTGTTGTCAAATGATGCTCAATATATTTACATTTTGCAGAGTCTAGAATCTAAATGATGGTTTATTGCAGATGTCTCGAGAATAATTTTCTGACAGGTCCCGTTCTTACCGGCATTTGGCAGAACATGGCCTTCAGTACTAGTGCTAGACTTAAGCTGTAAGTTCTGAAAGTAGTGAACTCACATTTTATAAAACATAATGTGTCTTTTACGAGCTTTGTTTTCGTGCACATTGCGAAGCACTGCTCTTATGAAATATAATGCATTCGTAATAGTTTCCCTTTGTCTGCACGTCTAAAATGCAGAGATCTTAGAAACAATTCATTCTCAAGTATTCAAGGACATCTAAATCCTCCGGTGAATGTTACCTTGAGGTAAACTTTTTATTTTTTTGTTTCATTCATTAGACTTGTTCAACATGTGGTTTAATGTTCCCATTTGGATACCTCCAACTCATTTTTCGTCATGCATTTTTTTCTTCTTTTAGTTTTATTATCAAAATCCTTACAATTTTAGCAGCTTTTCTTTAGGCTTGCAGGCAATCCTGTCTGCAAAAATGCAAACTTGTTGAATGTAAGCCTGTTCTGTGGATCTGAATCTGGAGAGAATGAGATGCTTACAAACTTAAATAACACAACAGCGAATTGCCCAATTCAAGCATGCCCAAGAGACAATTACTATGAATATGTCCCAGCATCTCCTCTGCCTTGTTTCTGTGCAGCACCTCTCAGTATTGGATATCGTCCGAAGAGCCCTAGTTTTTCTTATTTTCCTCCTTACATCCAGCCTTTTGAGGTGTACTCGACTCGTTCTTTGAACTTAAGCCAATATCAACTGTCAATTGATACATATTTGTGGGAGAATGGACGCCTAAGGATGTACTTGAAGATTTTTCCTAGCATCAATAATAACCAGTCCAGTACTTTTAATGTTAGCGAAGTTCAGAGAATCAGATGGAGATATATGTCATGGACTTTTCCCGGTAGCAACTTGTTTGGACCCTAATAGTTGCTCAGTTTCACTCTACTTGGACCTTATGCAGATAGTACGTACTTCCTCTTGCAATTCTTATGGAATAATGTTTTCTTATTTATATTGACATGGCTGAAATAGTAATTTGGAAGTTGATTTTCATTACTAACATGAGATTAGTAAATAAATACCGCCTAAATTTATATGGTCTTATTCTTGAACTTTTAGGACAAAACTTTCTAGCTATATAGAAATTAAATTAGCATAAATATTGGTAGAATCTCCATCTTTATAAAGCAAGAAAACCAATCTGGGCCAAATCATGCTGCTTGGCATGTAGATGGTAAACATTTGAGAAAATCAAGACTGCTTTTTCTACAGTGAGTTACAATGTAAGGTGGTTGCATATCGTTTTATTCTAAGAATAAAATAGCAAGCCATTTGATAGTTTAATTATCTGCATAATATTTCTTTATTCTTCATTTTATTATTAATAATGCATTAATTGTTTTGTTGTTTGCTCAGTTAAGTTTGAGGAGAACACTAAGGGTATTAGAAAGGGTATTTTAGTAGCCGTTGTGGTTGCGGGTGCTGCCTGTGCAGTTGCAGTGTCTGCTATCGTGGCAATTTTAATAACAAGAAGAAAAGCTGGACAACGTCGAGCAATGTCAAGAAAACGTTTGTGTAAGCTCCTTAATATAACTACTTGATTTCTTTTTCCCAGTAGCATGATCTCCAACTACCACCAGAAGAGGAGTCTAGTCTAAGTATCTTATTGTGATTTGCAGCTTCAGCGGTTTCTATGAAATTTGATGGGGTGAAAGACTTCACATTTAAACAAATGGCACTGGCTACTGACAACTTTAACAGCTCAAGTCAAGTTGGACAAGGAGGATATGGAAAAGTGTACAAAGGCACTTTACCTGACAAAACGGTTGTAGCCATAAAACGTGCAGAAGAAGGATCTTTGCAGGGACAAAGAGAATTTCTTACAGGGATAAAGCTTTTGTCAAGGCTGCATCACCGAAACCTAGTTTCATTGGTTGGATATTGTGAAGAAGGGGAACAGGTACATTTTTGTGGTCATTATCATTATGTACCTGTATTAAGTCAATTACATGAGTGGGTTGGGCTGTGCATGTGCATTTCTCTGTGTCCTTATGGTGTGGATTTTAAACCTCTAAGAAGTATATTAATTAGTTTTAGCTGCATAAGGTGATACGCGATCTTGTTCCGCTGGAAGGTGTGACACAAATCTCAATTAAATGTAAAATTCATATCCTTTTGTTGTTAGTCCATTTGCAGATGTTGGTATATGAGTTCATGCCCAATGGAACCTTGAGGTACTGGCTTTCCGGTACGTAATTTTTCAGTATTCATTGTCTTTAAAGTTTTATTATGTAACAAATCGTATCATCATCCTTTAAATCCTAAAGTGTTTAGATGGGCTATAAGTTCAGCATTAATCGTGTACTGTCACCATTTGAAGCCACTAATTGGCTACTTGGCTTGTAATACTATATATGTTGATGTTGATACTCGATATGTTTTTAAAATGTCTTCTCAGCTCATAAAATTAATCTAAAACATGATATGCAGCTAAATCCAAAGAAAGCCTAAATTTTGAAATGAGATTACTTATTGCACTGGGTTCGGCCAAAGGAATTCTTTAGCTCCATACTGAAGCAAATCCTTCCGTATTCACCGAGATATCAAAGCTAGCAACATTCTTCTCGACTCCAAGCTCAATGCAAAAGTTGCCGATTTCGGTCTCTCAAGGTTAGCTCCAGCCCTCGAAGACGAGGGAACTGTGCCAGATCATGTTTCCACTGTTGTGAGGGGAACACCAGTGGTTTGAATCCATTATAAGAGCGAGCCATGACTAGAAGGCATCCTATCGTTATTTATGCTTTACTTTATATTTGGAGTCTTGGACTCGTTGTGTAGAATGAAACTTGACTAAAATCTGTCAGACTAATCAGGTATGAGAAAGTCATTCGAATATATGGTTTGATATATGTATAAGCGTAATTTATTTTTCTTCTGGGAGAACTTTTAGCATTTCAGTTGCCGTATTGATTGAGCATTTGATCCCCTTTTAGACATAAACTTTGTAGATGTTAGTCACTACATAGCATATTATTTATTGCTCTCTTGTTGGGTGCAGGGGTACCGATCCTGAATACTTTTTGACCCATAAATTGACAGACAAAAGTGATGTTTATAGCCTTGGAGTTGTTTTCCTGGAGATGTTGACCGGAAAGCGACCGTGAGGTACTCTATGTTCCTAGCAAACTCCTTAATGAAAGCTGCAAGTACATTTTTGCTGCTACTTTTTTCAACTTAGGTGAATGCTAATGTTGTTCTGGATCAAAAAGCTCTACTTATTAAAGTTATTCTGAATATCTCGTGTTAAGGTGAATAGTGCGCATCAGTCTGGCACGATGTTCTTGATAATAGACAGTAGAATGGGTTGTTATCCATCCGAATGCATTGAGAGATTTGCAGGGCTAGCTCTGCGTTGTTGCCAAGACAAGACTGATAATCGTCCGTCGATGTCGGATGTGGTGAGGGAACTAGAATTCATACTGAAAATGATGCCAGAGACTGAATCAGTTTCATCAGATTCCACTTCATCGTCTTCTAATTCAGGCAAGTTGTTACAGTCATCTTCAGCTTCTTCTGTTTCGTCATCTAATGTTTTGGGTAGTGATCTTAGCAGTGGCGTTGTTCCATCTATCACACCTCGCTGACTGGCGACAGGCGGGCAAGACAGACATACACATACATATATAGATACCGTGATCATCATATAGCAGTATTCATATTCTTGCCTACTGTTTGATTTTGGTACGAGCGAGCGTGTGAGATTAGAGGGCATGAATGAAAATTGTTGTGTAATTATCGAGTGTAAAGTATCAAAACCATGTTCATAACCAGAGATTTAAATTGTGATCGATATCGAAATAACGGACCAAATAGCAACCACAACCGTAATGTAAAAGTACGGTCTGATTATTTCATAACCACAATACTCACAATGATCATAATAAACCTTTTACGCTACTTAAATCTCTGATCATAACATTAGCTTCAGCATTCCAAAGCTTTTCCAAATTATTTCTTGATTGAAGAGAAGAGAAGAGAGGAGAATAATTCAACCCAAATCAGAAAGAAATAACTGAATTGAAATTCATTTTAACCAAATTGATCCAAAAACATCAAGAAAACTGGATAATACAATATAAACCCTAAATGAGGGTGGTAGTAAAAAACCAAAGTTACTCATCGTTCTTGTATGGGTACTCTTCTGGAATTTGTTTCAAAAGCTTGACCTGCAACTCATAAGCATCGTCTCCTCTAAGCACATCGCGGATCCAGGTGACTTCCGTCTTCATGGCCACCATCTCCAGTGCTCCTCTTATGACTCCGCTCAAAACGTTGCAGTAGTAGAGGCCTTGGCAAGTATCCGGAAGCTCTACAAAGTCCACGAGCGGATTATCCTCCAAAATGATACTGCAACAGCTCCCATCCGCATCCCAGTTCACCACAGATGCGCTCACCCCAAGGAACATTTTGAAACCGATCTTCGCGATCATCTCCGACGTCTCCTTGAAATCCACGCATCTCGACGCTTTTGATTTTGCTAGAAACTCGTCGATTAGTCTAATTCCTATGTTGTAGCCCATTTGATCCAGCTGTTTGTTGACCTCCTCTACTTCCTCCAGATCTGTAAGCAATTGACGCACGATTGCTCCGTAAGTCAAGGTGAATAGTTCAGCGTTCACACGTTCGAAGCTGGAGAAGATCGCTTCACCGGATCGGGGAGCCGCAGCAGTCATTTTTGTAGAGATCTTGAAATGCTCAAACGCAGTTGCGGTGGCCAAAATAAGTGAAAGAAGAAACCACTTTTTCAGTTTTGAATCTGCTTAATGGGAAGAGAAAGGAGAAAAGATAAGGCATAAAAATAAGGTTTAATACATTTTTAGCCCTAATTTTTATCTGTTTTACTAATTTGTTCCTTAATTAAAAGTTTTTTATTAAATAAGATGCGTTGCCCAAATTACACCAAACTATTATTTTAGGGTAAACTACACATTTAGCACTTAAGATATTATTTTTGTTTTATTTTAATATCTAGATTTTATTATTTTTAAAAATAATATCTAACATTTAGTTTATGTTTTAATTTAATACATTACCATTAAAAAATTTAATAAAACTATTGATGTATATTTTTTATATATATTTTTAACATTGACATGTCATTATTTTATGATAACATGTCAATATCACTGTTAAGTTCTTTTAGACAACTTTCAAAATGAAATCTAAACAAAATGTTAAGTATGATTTGAAAGAAAAAAATTTAGATATTAAAATGAAACAAAAGTTTATGTACTAAATGTAACTTAAGAGAACGTTTGATTTACGAAAAATATTATTACTAAAAAAACAAGTTTTTCAGAAATAATATTCTCATTTCATATTTGACGAAAACATTTCCTCCACTGAATAATAGAATACTCCCAACAGTAGATTTTTTTTTTGGATGCTTTCTCAGAATATCATTTTCTTGTATTTATTCGGTATTTAACGATTTTCGTCGGTTTAAACAAAAATATCTTTGAAATAAAGACGTATCATTTCTTTTGTTCCTTAAACTTAATGCTAAATCCCTACTTTAGTTATTTTTCTTTCTCCTTCAACTGTTGATTCGGATTTCGTTTGAAAGAAAAATTAGTTCCTTTCGATTCTCTTTTGATAAATTCTCTCTTCTCTTTTTTTTTTTTATTTCGATTAATAAAATCTTATTTTTTATATTTTCTGTTTTTATTTATGTGAAAAATCTTTTTGATTCTTTTTCCACCATTTAATTTTTAGGTTCTTTTTAGGGGAAAAATGTTTTTATATAATTAGGGATAAGTATGGGTCGGGTTTTCGGTCTACCCTACTCGACCCGAAAATATATACTCTCATCCGAAATATGATTCGACCCAATATTAAGGGTGACTTCACCCAACCCGAATCCCACCCAATTTTTTGAATAAAATCCGATCCAAACTGATCTGATTGACTTGATCAGAGATAAATATGATAATAGAAAAATATTATTTTTATTAATAAAAATATATATCTAATTAAAAATAATAATATATAGAAGATTTTTATTGTAATTATTCCTAAATATATGAAGTAAATTCATATTATTTTTCACCTTAAACCTAAACTTAACTTAAACTCAAATTTTTTTTAAAAAATTCGACCTGATTAAATTGAATCTTATCATAACTCGGTCCATACCCAACCCTACATATAACTCCATGGATGCCAAAGTGAAAAGGCAAAGAGATATTTTTCTAACAAATTGCAACTCTGAAAATTCTAAGCTACAGGGGGTGTGAATGATTTCAAAGGAATTGAAAATGAAGAACTTTTTTATATATTATTTGGTAAAATAATTTTACGGAATTGTCCTTTAAATTATTTTTCGAGATAATTTATCACTTCAATTATAAATCATTGTTCTGTTTGCTCTAACTGTTAACACCGTTAAAAATAAAATTTATGGAACAATTAGAACACGTCACTTCATCTCTTAATTTTATTTTCTTTGTCTAAATAAATAAATATCAAATAATAAAATAAAATAGGTAAACTACCGAAATTGCCCGTCTGTCTTTTCCCTAACACAAAATGGTTCTATGACCTTCTTCCCCGAAATTGCCCCTCTCTGGGTTTCTTTCTTTTGCATTGCTAGCTTCTTCCCCGAAATTGCTAGCTTCTCGGTCCAGCCATCCGCCGCCGAATCAACTCCGGTCGAATCGACACCGAGAACAGTTCCTCCTGCGAAAACAGAACGGGTTCCATACGTGCATCAAAATGTTCCTTTGGTTATCTTTATTGTTACTCATTTTCGAGATCACCACGTATTATAACGGCTGAGATCATTTCGGAGCTTCATTTATAGAACATATTCACGGAGCCATTCGGTGTTAAAGATGTCTTCGAATGGTTATAATCTCGTTGGGTTTTGATTCGGGTCGGGTTGATTGCTCCATCGCTTCAACTCCTGGAAAATGTCTGCATTGTCCTTTTCTTAACCCAAAGTTCAGATAGGTTAATCCTCTGTTTATGTTGTCTTTGGATCTGTTTCAAAAAGATCAAGCCAATTCCCAAAGAAGGCGTTGTTGCAGCTCTTGAAAATGGATTCTTCCCAATGGTACTCGTTCAGATCCCTATGTGTAAAGAAAAAGAGGTAAATAACAAGAAAATTACCATTTTTTTAAGGTTTGAAAAGAACCCATTGTTTTGTTTATATATATATATATATATATATATTGCAGGTTTACCAACACTTCATTGTTGCAATGTGCATATTGGAGTGACCAAGGTCGAAAATTTTGATTCAAGTTTTAGATGAATTTGACGATCGTTAATTTACAGAGGTGTTGGGGTAGGGAAAGGAGGGTGGTGTTAACGGTGGGGTTGAGGGGTAATTTTGGTAGTTTATATGTTTTATTTTATTAATTAATTTTGATTTTATTTAGATAAAGAAAATAAAAATTAAGAGATGACATGGTATGTTTTGATTGGTCCGAGATTTTTTTTTGAACGGTATTAATAATTTGGGAAAAAATGAGATAATAATTTATAGTTAAAGGATAAAACGTAATGAAAAATATTTTAAGGGATAACTCGAAATAAATGATATCATTTAAGGGGTAATGAGACATTTAAGTTTTTCTCTATTCTCTCTCCATAAGCTTTCTCCTCTTTTCTTCTTTTATTTATATTAATAAAATTTTATTTTTATATTTTCTTATTTTATATTTGTGAAAAATCTTTTTGATTCGTTTTTTCACCATTTAAAATTTTAGGTTCTTTTTCGGAAAAAAATGTTTTAATATAACTAGAGAGGAACATGGATCAGATTTTTTGTCTACTCGACTCGATCCGAAAATATATATTTTCATCCAAAATCTAACTCGATCTAGGATTAGAGGTGACTTCACCTAACCCGAATCCCACTCAATCTTTCAAATAAAATCCAAACTAAATCAATTTGATTTAACTTGACATGAGATAAATATAATTATAAAAAAAATATTATTTTTATTTAATAAAAATATGGATCTAATCAAACGAATAATATATAGAAGATTCTTGTTGTAATTATTCTTAAATATATGAGGTAAATTTATATTATTTTTTGAGTTGAATCGAATATTTTTTATTATAGACCCAAACTCAAAATTTTCTTAAAAAATTCAACCCGATTAAATCAGATCAAATTATAACTCGTCATGTCCATACCCATCCCTGTATATAACTCCATGGATGCCAAAATGAAAAGGCAAAGAGATTTTTTTTCTTCTAACAAATTGTAACTCTAAAAAATCTAAGCTACAGGGGCGTGAATGATTTTAAAAGGAATTGAAAATGAAGGATTTTTTTTTATATTTAGTTGGTAAAACAATTTATTATAGTTAAGCTAGAATAATGGGACAATAAACAATTATGAAGGAAGACCAAACGAATTGCATGAAATTTTCATTTTATTTTCTCAAATGTAAAAGAAAAGTGTATAATTTTAAAATTTTCACTAATTTTGTTTTTTTCAAACTGTTTTATTTTATTTTTTTCTTATCCTAACTTGAGCTTCGTTTTCTTATTTGTAATATAAGATTGATTTAGATTTATGGGCAATTGGTAGATTAAAGATCTTAATGATATAAAATCATTTTTGGATTTTTTTTATTATGGATTGTCATTATTTGGATGTGTTGCTCTCTAATATAAATTAGATTATTTTTATGCTTAATATAAAAAAGTGTCCAAAATTTCTTTAAGTGGGCCTAAATTTTTTTTGTCTATCTAAATGTCTAATATTATAAATGTTATCACTTTAGATTTTTCGACCGTAACGGTCATTAAAAATACTTGTTAAATAACATATGTCACATTTTGATAATTTTAAAATGTTTATTTAAAAAAACTTTAAAATACTATTATATCTTAAAAAATCTTAAACTTTTATATTTTAAACAAAATACTTCACAGTTCATAAAAATCCTAATTCTCAAATCTTAAACCCCTAATTTCCTATTTTGCCGACGACAAAGGGGTGATCAGAAATGGAATCAGATTGATGAGTGGACTTTGACGATAAGACAATGGTGGCCGATGTGTGGCAATGAGATGGGAGAGAAACGCAAAAAAAAAGAAGAAAAAATGATGACGGTGGAGATACAATGGTGGTCGGAGCATTGCTAGGGTTTGTCTCTATCATTATTGACAATGATGTCGTTTCTCTGTCATCGTCGAACTCACCGAGAGTGACTCCAGTCAACTAAATATTAATATAGGTAGAATTACAAACTTCGAAAATTATATTTAATATATTTCTCATTTTATTTTATTCATTTATCATTAAAACTTTTACAAATATATATATATATTAGAAACAATAGAAAAATATATTTTTTATGAAGTTTTGTTTAAATATTTTCAATTTAATATTGAGAATTCAATTTGTTAAAAAGAAGGGTAAATTATGCATTTAGTATATAAACTATCAATTTTGGTATGTTTTAGTACTTAAACTTTCAGTTTTTTCAAAGTCATATTTAACGTTTAGTTTTTGTTTCGTTTTAATACCTCGTCGTAAAAAAATTAATGAGATATTTGCATGTGACACCTTTTTTATGGGTAAATTACATCATTCATCACTCAACTATCTTCTCACTCATATTTTGGTCACTAAAGTTTATTTTTTCAGTTTAATTAGTTAACTTTCAAATTACTTCTAATTTAATCACTCTAACTTTCAAATATATATTTTATTTTTAATTATATATTAATAAAATAATAATAAAAACTGTCATGTAAAAAATATTAATAAAATAAATTAGAGTGATTAAAATGGGAATAATTTGAAAGTTGAGTAGTT